GTCGGCGAGTTGGTCCGTCGGCGAGTTGACTGGTTACCCTTGGTGCTGCTACTTGTTGAGGCCTTGAGCAGTAATATGAACTCCAAAATGAAAGTTGGAAGGTAATAGCCACGAACATATCTGGCTTAAAAATGACCTGACAAAAGGTTAATTCATGAGACTGCTGTGGGAATTATGAAGGAGATGTAACCTAATTCTTCAAAATTGTCTTAATAACCTTTTGCATACAACTTACATCAATTTTGGCTGCTAAAACTGGATCTTGTGTTGTGCTTCCAGAAGAAGCACTCCACCTCAACTGCATTAAATCGCTAATGTCTGTGGTTCCCTCATTAAGATTGTATGCACAGTATCTGATGTTTGGAGTGATCTCTTCAACTCTCTGAAGATACATGGTGCGCTGTTCCTCAGAGAAAGCCCCAGCTAGTTTTTCATAGATAGTCCTATTCAATGTAAAATGGGCAAAAATGTTCAAAATAAAACAGTAATTTATCTGTTGAATAGCATTATCTACCCTTTGAAAAACTGGGGCCAGGTCAATAACAAATCCTTTCCTGGCTGGCTGGTGTTTTTAGCCAATGTACTTATAAAATGCAGTGTCCACAGGCATTGCAGGTTCTTGCGTGCAGAGTATATCCCTATAATTCAAACATATTAATCAAAGAACAAGAATTGTGTAAATACTACCTTGTTGTTCCCCTCACCATAAATAATTACGAAAATGTTTAAATTACTTAAACTTTTCAAATCATCTTTGGCAGCTATTACTGCTTTGATACAAAAGGTTTGAATTAGTGGTTTGACATATGTTAAACCCATTTAAGAACCTAGCAAGTGTGTGGAAATTGAAAGAAAACTGCAATAAAAGCTCTTCTCCAAAACACTGCAAATGCAAGCAGAGGCTCAAGAATTTCTTGTGCTGCAAGAACATGTAAGCGGTCTATTTTGGACTTGCTATTGTACCAAAAAGAACTAGAACAGCAAAGAAGTTCTTTAAAAATTCAACCCCAAAGAAGATGTTGAGGCTCCCGTAACCTAGCTCACAAATGACCTGCAATTAGTTGCAAGGAGAAGTTCTGCTTGTGAACCTAAAAAAAAGTTCCCAAATGTGCATTCTTTATTTCCACAAGTATATTGGCTTCAAACACTAGCCATTGATTACATTCAAAATCAAGTTTTGCCCCATTTGTTCCCTTGCAAAAATCCCATCATGGTTCTTTTTCATCTATCCAAAACAATATATACCCATGTGAATATATTGTGCAAAGTGGAGTTTTGGTACTGGGTCCCAACAAACATCACCAACTAAGTAAGAAAGTAACCTGAAGCTCTTCCAATACAAACAACATCATACATCTTCATGAACTACTTTGGAATTCTAACATGTTAATACCCTTGGGGTAACAGGGTTATGCCAAGACAATCATATCAGCATTACCTAAATAAATTCAAAATAAAATAACAGGGTTGTCAAAATAAGGCACCAACCAGGGAATTTCACTCTCTACTCTGAAAAATGTACCAATTTTTCTGAAAACTTGTGGCTCAGTTTCAGCATGTAAACTTAACATTGATGGAAATAAAACGGTCTAGTGTCTCACATTATGCATCACAGTCTGGTTACTAAAAGTCATTTTGAAAACCCTGGGTTAAACTTACTGGGCATGGCCAAATAACTCGAAAGCCTCCTTCCAATTCTGCAGCTCAAAACTGACACTGCCTTTCATGTAAGAAGCATAGGCCTGTTCACAAAGAAGAGTAAATTTGCTATGAGAAAAAGCTGCAAGAACAGTACATACAACAACAGCAGGACTGCACTTGTAGACTATAGCAAAACAGCACATACAAATAAAAGGGAGATGTATTCTGTCAAAGTTAAAATTGGTGACAACAGGAATACTGTTGAAAGAAAGTAAGACCAAAATGGTTGCAAAGTCCAACTCCATGAGGGATTTTAGAGCATGGGAAGGGCTATTCCACTAGTAACCCATTGTGTATCCACATTAGAGGTGCTGATTTGATAGAGGTATCCACAATGAAGTCACTGAAGACTCACTGACTTTTTTTAAGTCTCCAGTTACTAAAATAAGTACATACTGCAACAAATTGTGAAAATAAAAAGTTTCAAGGCACATTCTTGCAGAAGATCAAACAACAAAGGGTTAGTTCCATTCTGAACAATGTATTTTGATAGTTTTCCAGTGCAGGCCAGTGTAACCATTGTAAATTAATAAAATATTTTTTGTTGGTATAATGCCATTTGCTAAATAACACACCTAAATCTCCCTTTGCTCTTGTTGCAGTTTGCTGCACTTGAAACTACTGGAAGATGTTAAGCAGCATGGACCTGATACATTTGTTTCTTTTTGTTTAAACTTCTGTAAGGCACCATCACTAAATTGAATTTTAGAACATTTACATGTGATTGTGTTGCACCTTTCTTTTGAAAGTCAATCAGGAAAGTGACCTTAATCTATTTTGGGTTCTTATTAGCGCCTCATGGAAGTTTCCTTAGTTCTTAAAGGCTCCAAGATTTCTTCGTTTTTGATCTTGACCCTTCCAACAATAATTTTGGAAATACACCCATTTTTAAGTTAGGGATGTTTACTTGTAAGTTTTGCTCAGAAAATTAAGTGATGTAGCAAGTGTCACTTTGAAAGTCAAAAGTCTTATCTAGTAATAACTTTTGTGAAAAACTTAGTGTTTTTAATGCTGAAAGACTTATAAGGGTATTAAAAATTTTCAATAAGTAAAAGCATTGTACCTGGGCCTCAAGTTTTGTTCTGGCATCACAGACATCACCAGAACAGAGCTCTTCTAACTGAGTAGCATGGCTTGCAGCCTTACGAAGTCTTCTAATGTAATGGAACTTTTTGCGCAGTTCAGTGTTAGCCAATAGCTTCAACTCCATTGCATGACTCCAAGCTCTTTCTGCATCCATTAAAGGAATGTGTAAATACCTTGAGAGAAGGAAAAAAAAGGAAAATGGTAGTCCCATGTTTTTTCTATGAAATCCCCTTCACCACACCCCACTCCAACTTAGGGTTTAGGCAGACAAGGGCTCAATTCTCTACCATCAATAATTTCCTCTGTTACTTTGAATTACAGCTTTAAATTTTGTCACTGTCAGAGGAAGTGGATTCAGCAAGAAAATTACTCACTCTGAAAATGTACAATATGTATTTGGTTTTAGAGATTCTGTGTTTGGTTTTAAAATCCTAAAGAGCCTACCACTGTAATAAACAACAGAATTCCTTTTTCTTATTCAGCCAGTCATTAAATAGCCACCTGTACACTGAACTTGCATTGTGTTCAATGACCAAAGTTCAAAGAAAACTTTTAAGAAATACAACAGAAAGAGAATCTCCCTTTTTCAGAGGGTCATAAGAAGGCCACTGGGTATTAGTAGAGAAAAATGTTCAAGAACTTAGCCAGTCAGAGCAATAACAAACACAGGCTTTCATCATAAGAAAATGAACTTGTAAAACCAAAGCCCTAAGGATAATTGATAATATATAACATTGAATATCATTAGTTTGTCTATGGTATTTCAATAGAAGCTTTAATTATTGGTAGCACAATTGCAGTTATTAGCAAAATCTAAACTCTGAAGGGAACATCTGAACGAAATGTGAGATTTACTTGACATCTTTCAGCAGTTCCTGTGTTAATTTCTTTGCCTTGAATGTGTTTCGTGAACCATGCTGGAAATTCAAAGTCTTGTATAATCTTCTCAACCTCCGCTGACAGTATTGCCTGATAAGGATTGAGGATCACCAAAGATAAGCTAATTATAATTACATTGCTCAGAGTTATGTATTTTTATCAGAATTACTGTTAAAACTGGCATATAACCTGGACTTGCAGAAAAGTTTCACCTCAAGTTTGGTAATTTAAATTTGGAAAATAAATCACAAGTACAGTCTTGGGAAGTTGCTTTATTCTGATTGCCCTATTCACAAACATTGAAACAGAGAATACTTTGGAGTCTCCCCAATAGTTTTAGCTATAATTGTATGGATGTCAAAGCTACTGAATTACATGTTTATGTTTGCAAAAGCAATGACCAATTTCTATTTTTGAATATTTCTATGAAGTTCTCATTAGTCTGCTATACATACCTATAAATTCATGCAAATTTGCAGTATGTTCTCCCCTAGTATGTCATTTAAATTTTGGGTAAAAATGGCTTATGTGCTTGTGTTCCTGGTATGTTCTTTCCAGTAATAGTAGTAACACAACACTTGAAATTAGCAGTTTTCCCTTTCCCTGAGATGACCAGAATGTTTTTGTTTAAGTAAAAGAGTGGGTGAGCCCAAATTTGAGCCTTCAATTCTTTTAATGGCTTTTTTCTCTAACTCCACCAATACAATTTTAAACACCAAAACTGACTTTCTTATTTAGACTCCTAGGCCCAGTTGTTCAAAGGCCAAATAGTGCTATCCTAAGGTTAAAACTTAATCTGGGTTTCTTTACTCCTTCATTCAAAGGCCTTTTTGGGTGAATTTTCTCTATTCTTTTTCAGACATTCAATGATCAAATTAAGGACAAAAATAATTAAATTATATATTTTTTTAAGCTTTCATTTCACACTAACCCTGGGTTATCTTAACCCAGCCTTGGTATTCTAACACATACTACTGTACTACAGGTACATGTATCTTTGTTAAAGAAAAGAAAAGTAAAAATCCAATTTCAAAGATTCCAGTGAACCAAAGAAACAACAGCATATTACCTATATCTCTGATAATCCCCATGACGTAACCCATGTTGTCCTTGAGCATCTCTGATAATTGGAAGAACTTGTTTTAAGATATAAGTTAAAGAAATATTTTATTTATTCACTAGAGATAGAATCTGTTTTGCTTGACTGTAAATGTCCTCCTAAAAGACTAGCATCATCAAAATAACCAGCCAAAACTGGGGAATATCTCTTAAGTATATGCTTAAACAGTGGATAGGGTCAGAGGTGACTATGAATATCCTTTGCTATTCACCTCCAAGGTACTCGCTTGGAATTTGCACCTGAAAATATTGTAATCATTACAGGAATAAATGAGTTAACCCATCTTTTTGTGATATATTATCTCACTGTTTAATCATGATACTACAACAACTATTGACCTCAGTGTCACTGGTTAGCAGTGGATATTTACCTTGCCACTTTGCCCCTTCATAAATATCCACCACCTCCTCAGTGAATGGGCCTTTCTATAATCCATCACATGACCAAATATACCCCTGTTAGAACCAGGGAATATTCACTGATATACCTCAAATGATATTACTGTACCCGCAATCAGTGTTCGCTAGGTTACTTCTCAACACATAAGTGAAGAGCGAACACTTCATACATTTTGAGTCAAACCCTTGAAACCAGAATGAAAATTCCATTAGTTACTACAAGTAAAGCTTTGCAAACAACTCCACAGCCTGGAGAATATAATTTACAGGGTTGATTTATCCAAACAATGAGGTTTTTCATAAAATTCAAAGCTAATTTAAGTAACTTTCAGAATTTAAAACCAAAAGCTGGAACGTTTTAATTTCTGATCGTGAAATAACGTAGATAGCAACTAAAGCATTCAAAATTTTAAAACCATGTGGCATAAATTTCACTAATTCAAGACCTTTTGCAGCTTTTTTGCTTTTATGTAAAAATTAGACACTTCTTTTCATAAAGCTTTTTTATGAAGATACTTCTTATTGAGGAAACCGCAATGTCTCTTACGATTAAGATTCTTTAACGAAGGCTCACATGCTGGTTCGTTCATTTGGTTTTGAACACTATTTCAGAAAAAAAAATATAATTACAAGGATACTTTCTAAACACAGGATAGCTTGTTGTGGATCAACTTCGTCTGACGTTTCGCCCATAACCTCGTCAGTTTCTTTGTCTACATGAAATGCTTCACTCACTGCTTTAGTCGCCGCCATGTTGAAATAGAATGAAGTGATAGACTGACGTGGCCAGTCTCCAACCTACCTGCTAGAGGTACAACCGAGTACTACTAGGGATGAGTTTGTAAACCACGTGCTCGTGCTTCTGAA